TGGAGTCTGGTGAGGTTGATGGTGTCATAGAACGTGCTCATGTCCATTAAGCAGGTGACTCCATGACATCCATTGGCCTTGTGGACCTCTTGGCGGAGTAGCCTTTCCAAAGCCACGCGCAGGACTTGGGCGCCCGGTCTGGCTCTGTCATGTTGCATTGTGGGTGGCAGCTGTTTTTGCCATTGGTCGAGCACTGGTTTCCTGAGTCTGCACCACACACGGTACAGCAGGGAGGTGAGTGTGATGGGTCTCTCCTTGGCGCTGGTTTTTGGCAACATGATGACCATGTGCATCTGTTGTTGCGTTGGCAGCTGTGCCTGATGCTCCATGTCTTGGAACAGCTTGAGAAGTGGCCCAAGCGCCAACGGGGGTGCTGTGCGGAGAAGCTGGGCTGACACTGCATCAGGTCCGCATGCCTTATCCGGAAGGTGCTTGAGAACCGAGGCCAGGTGGCCAATTGTGAGGGGCTCCAGTTGTTGCGCTTGTTGTCTGGCCTGTGGTTGCAGACTGGGTCGTTCGTGTGGCTGCTCTGATTGCCTGATGTGCCATAATTTACCCCAGTCGTGAAGTCTTTGCGTCATCCTTTCATCCGGTGGGAGGTTTCTGTAGGGTCGCTCCCAGGCTAGTTCACTGCTTTTGAGACTCCGAAAGAGACCTTTGAGCCCTTTGGCCTCTCCTTGCTTGAGCCAGTCTTTGTACTGGAGGTGGCCTTCATCATTGGCTGCCTGCTGTGCTTCGTGGAGTTGATGTGCGATGGTGTGAAGCACCAGTTCTGCTGCATGGGTGTCTCTGTAGCGGTGCCAGTGGTGGCTGGTGTCAAAGAACTGGCCCCATGTTGGCGGTCCGACCCAATGCTTTGGTACATCTTGGAGGGCCTGCATGAAACCTCAAAGTGGACCTGTTTGTACCGTGGCCGGTTGCTTCATCGCGAGCTGGAATCTGGCTTTCAACTGTTCCCAAAAGGCTGGCTTCCCTTTTTTCCACGTAGTGGAGATTTGGGTGGACACCAAGGGTTTGATGCTGACCTTCAGGCTTGCGCCACGACCCTGAGCTGCCCAAGGGTGCTCCTGGAGGAGGTATTGCTCGGTGCAAGAGATCCAGTCCGCCCATTTTTGTGCCTGCTCATTGGGTGGAATGCCGTACAACTCAATCTCGTAGGCTTGTGTCTGGTAGGAGGTCCATGGCCTAAAATCAATGTCTGGAGTCGCCGGCAGCGGAGGGTAGTACTGGATCTGCCGGTATTCTTTGGTGGCTGCTTCGATGTTGAGGTGCAAAGTGATCAGTGCATGTGGTCTCCAAGGCACAGCCCAATCCGTGGTTAGGGCCGTGGTCGGTGCCAAGGTGTTGCGCAGCAATGCATAGTCGAGCACGTTGCCAGAGAGGATGCTGTGATCTGGGGCCTTGACATCAAAATGGAACTTGGAAGGGAGCACCGTGCTGGTGAAGCTGTCCGGGCTGTTTTGCCAATCTCCCAGGAGGATGTAAGGGTGTTTTGTGGCTTCAATCAGGGCCAGAAGCTTGGCCAGGATAGTGGCATTGGTGTCAGTTTGGAGGCCTTCCCCAGTCTTCATATAGACTCCGGCAACGAGGATAGTGCATTCAGTGGCCTGCCACAAGAAAGCTTGAAATCCACATCCCTGCTGGGTGTAAGCCCGCTGGCTTGGTCACCAAGGATGAGGATGCCACCTGAGTTGCCAGTGCCTTCTTGGTTGACCTGTGCCGGTGCTCCAAAGGCAACTCTCCCTCTAATGCTGAAGTATTGGCAGATCTCTTGGTGACGTTGAGGGTCAAGGTGAGTCTCAACAAAGATGTGCACCTCGCTTTGCCGGGCCCAAAACCAGTCCAGAAATTGCTTGCCAAAGGTGGTGATGTTGGCAAAGTGCAACTTGCTATGTTCTTGTTCTAAACGTGGTCTCTTCTCTGGGCTTGGATGAAGAGGTGGGTCATAGTCCGGCTCCTCTGGTGGTGGGAGCGACCGAATGATCTGTTGGGTCGTTCGGAAGGTGTCAATGTGCACCGCCCAAATTTGTGTGACCTGGCTGGCCAGGAGTGGAGTAAGGTGTTCCAGATGGACTGGTGGTCTCCCATCATCAGCCAACCACATCAAATCTCTGTAGATGAGGATGGCAAAATAGTGACCTGTGTTGTGGCTGGGTCCACGATGGCAAATCAGAGCTGCTGGCACAAACTCTGCAGATTCTCTGGCGAAGCCATCCATATGGATTGAGGATCTTGGCGTGCTTCGTCATGATTCCCTCTACGCATGTGTTGCGGGTGATGTGGGTGATCAGCACAGGCTTGTCGTCCAGCAGAAATTGTCCAAGGCCCGTGTTGGCCCACCCATTGTAGAGATCCTGTAGGCTGGTGTTCTCCGGCCAGTCATCTGGGAAATCTACCAAGATGGGCTGTTGGATGTGATCCTTGAGGTAGCCTGCTGTTTGGATCTCTGCAAACCTGTAGTGGAATGCCCTCGTTTGGGAATGATTCCACAACGTGTTCACGAAATGGTTCGCATCTCCCTGGATGTTGAGGTCATGCTTGGCCCACAGAGGATGAAGGCCTGGGAGCTCTCGGATATCTACTGCTTCTGCCAGTTCGAGCGACTCTTGAACTGCTAGTTGGAGATTTCCCCAAGGCTGCGTGTTGGTCTCCTGCAGCAAAGCGCATGTCCATGTGAAAGCTCGCCATGGTGCATTGGCGTAACACCGTGCACTAGGATTGCCCACTGTCATGGTGAGGTTCTGCAAGATGCACTCCGTGGTCGAAGCGAAAGTGCTCTGCATGGCGGCTTTGTTTTTGTGACCTGATTGGGGTGGCCTAGATGCTCCACCCCCTTGAATTTTCACCACTTCTGGCCCAGGTGCACCAAGGGCTGATCCATCCACGGCCGAAAGGTGAGGTGTTGCAAAAATGTGCTCCTGTGTTGGAGTCTGAACCTCATGTACAAAAGAACTTGACCCCGCACTCTTGTTAGAGGTTTCCCTGGAGATGTTTTGAGAAATGTTCTGCAAATGGTGATGTGAACTGTCCCCTGCACAAGTGTCCATTTGCTGAGTCCCCGCCGGTGCTGGGTTTGAGGCAGCGCGGCAAACCAAATTTGTGGTTGGCGCTCTGTCAAAATCGTCATCGGGGACCGGCACCTGGAGCCCCTGAAACCCTTGTGGCATGTCTTGCATGTTACCCATCCGACCCTGGAGGTGTTGTCTTGGCCGGGCTGTCTGTTTTCCTGCGCTTGGAGAGGTCACCATCCGTGTCATTGGGTCGCTTGAGGAGCCCATGAAGCTGTGTCTTCTGTTCATCAGATAGTGAGACTCCAAGATTGGCTACAAAGGTTTCCACTGCCGCAGGCAATGTGTCGATGTCCATGCCTGAATCCAAGTCTGCTTGCTTCGTCTCCTTGTTGACTGCCTTCATGTAGTCCTCGGATAACAGCTTTAGGGCTTGTTGTCCGTCATTGAGCTTCTGTTGAAGGTCCTGCATTTCCTGGAGAAGGGTTTGGTATTGCAGCTTGGTTTGGTCTAGCTTCTCTTGGAGCTGAGTTTTCTTCGTGGAGAGGTTTTTCAAGTCAGTGACCTGTCCCTTCAGCCGGATGGCAATGTCTTGCTCTGAAGCCGGGGCTGGTGTGGTGAGGCGGGTGACCACCTCTTGGACCTGTGCTGGAAGAGCTGCCACGTGGGTTTTCAGCGTCTCATGGAGGTCCGGCTCTGGCGGTTTCTTGGGGCCAATGCCAAGGTGCTGGAGTTTGTCCTGTAGTTCATGGGACATGCCACTCCAGACAGGTTCAAGGAGTTCCGTGGCGTCCTTCTGGATTTTGGTTTTCTTCAAAGGCTTCAGCTTGCCAAGGCCAGGTGGTGTTTCCAGCCAAGAGGCTTGTTGTCTTGCTTCCGATTTCGTGGGTCTGCCTTGACCTTTGCCCTTGCCCGTGCCGCCGTGATTGACCGTGAGAGCTGGCCACCATGTGCCACATTGGCGGCATCTGGTGTCGGGCTTGAGCTTGTCCTGCCATATCCAATTCGTGCAGTGGCTTTGTCTGCATGTGACATAGCTCCTGCACCATGAGGTATATCTGGAGGTTGTCATAGCTCAGGAGGGGTGAGGCCTCAAGGTGCTGCTGCAAGGCAGTGAAAAGGGCAGTGGCCGTATCACCGAACTCGAACAGGCCTACTTGATAGGCAAAGCAGTAGTGCCAGTCACCTCCAAGTCCCCGCGGAGGTAGCCAAGCGAGCACTGCCAGGCGCCAAAGGTCTCAACAGCAATGTCGTTGGTGGAGTCGAGGATCACGGGCAAAGGAGTCCAGTGCCCTCTTGGAAGACGGGGCTCGGCTCCAATGGCTTGTGTCCTGTGCCTGGACTTTGTATGGGACCAGGTTGAGACCTCAAATGGCTTGAGCCATGTATGTATGTATGTATGTAGGTCATATCCATTCGTATACCTTTAATGTAATGTAACCACATGACATGGAATGAAATGTAAAGAGCATCACCTGACATGGATGGATGGAAGGTTTCGATATACACATAGACATAGATGTACATGAGTCACATACAAGATTGAAAAAGTTGGCGCCTGAAGGCCAACCCCCTTGAGCATTAGTTACTTGGTAGCTGTGCAACAGCAGCTCCTCGAGGATGACAAGGAAAGCATGCATTCTCTGTAAACCCCTGCATTTTCCATGATGCTACCATGATTTGGTTCGGGTGACACAAACATGTGCCTCCTGCCCCTAGTCTCCACACACAAAGTCCCCGACAAACCGGACATAGTTCCTAACTAACCCTTTACGTGCGCTTTGACATTCACATTTGAACCTGGCATATCGCAAATAGACAAGAGAAACCGGAAGATGAACTGGGACTCCACCCAGCCCGTGTCCAGTGAGCTCACACTCCCTGGTGCGGCCCACGCTGTGTTTTTAAGGATGTAGTGCCTAGGTTCAACATTGGTTTGCCCTGCATCATTTTGTATTTGGATTGTGATTTGGTGCAACTGCAAATTGTCAGGCTCGGACTGTTTGGGTTCGATTTCCAGAACCTTCGCGGAAAAAGATCCTGCAGCCAAGCAGGGCTGCCTGGAATGTGGCTGTGTGAAGGAAGGGCAAAAGAAGTGGGCGGTCAACAATTGAGAAATGTGGCTGAACTTTCAGAGATAAAGTTAAAGTCATGGTATATGAATGTATATCAAGTTGTCTCAGACATATACTGTATAATATATATATATATAATGGAAATAGATAGTATTTCTAGAAATGTTTATATATATACACACACATATATATATATATATGTCGGTTCAAACTCCAGCTTTCTGGAATCAGGACATGTTTCTGGTGAATACGTGCAGGTGATGCTAGAAGGGTTTGCAGGGACTTTGCCCCTCAAACAGCCAGGTTCGCTGCATTCACCGAATCCTGATTGCTTTGTGACTTGGCAACCATTGAGAAAAAACACCTGCTGTCAGAAAAAAAATTGCGGAAAGGTGCTTTGTTTGCCAACTATGTGGTACGTAGGGTGGGTTTGTTGAGACATGCAAAAACATTTTGTGGCAGGTTAACCTGCTGAATGATACTTTTGACTTTAGTGAATCTTTCGGGAACGCTTGAAGGTGAGACCCTTCTGAGGTTTGTGGTTCCAGGACAGCCCGTGTGGCTTTGAGGAGCTTGGAGGATTGCAAAATTGCAGCCTTGGCCAAGGTTCAGCCGGAAGGGATACACAGTCAGTGCTGGACAAGGTTCTATTTATGTACAGAATGTTCCAGCACCTGGTGACTTCAGACTGACAAAGCGCCTCACTGGAACTAGCAGATGAAAGGAGCCAAGCTGCACTGTGCGGGCATACAATAGGTATATAACCGTGTATAGGTAGTTCTTGCATCCTTGCACAGTGTACCTGGCTGTTTTTTCTTGCACTGATGTTTGTTCCCTACCTTTCAGGGCTGCATCCAGGGCCAGCTGGGTGCCCACAAGCCAGCGCTGTACGCAAATGGTTCTTGTATTTTTGATCCGGAGCAACTTGGCCGTGAATCTTTGGGCAGTTTAGAATCAAAATGGGCACATGCCATGCGCTAAACATGTACTGTGTGCTGTGTTGGTCCTGCATCATGACACTGGGTTTTGTTCATTTGGTGTAAAAATGCTTCACCAATCAACGGGACATGTCCGCGCAAAGCAATCTCTTCAATACTTCCGCATTTCTGAGCGCGTAGAGACTTCTTCTTCTGGCGAGTCTTTGAGCTTTAGCTTTGAGTAGATATATATATATATATGCGCACGTATGCTTGCCAACCGCATCTCAAAGGCATCTTGCCAGGATAAGAACCAAGAATCGATATACTGCTCACTGATCAGGGGGCCTGAGGGCACACTTTGCCTCGTTTGCATTCTACATGCCATCTTCATTTGCATTCTCCATAAGCAAGGGACGCGTTTGCAACTTTCTTGTTTGTGGTTGTTTGTTGGCATTTAGAATAGCTTTATTTTAGAAATGTCTTTGCCGGTGCATCAAATTTCCTACGTTTTCTCAAGGAAAATGCTTGTGTCGAGCGTTTCGCTACAACGAAACACTCATAAAATTGTTGTTAGGAGTGTGAGAAAGAAGGTCGGAAAAGCGCTCTTGAAGGTCTGATGATAAGTGATGCGCAGTCATCCAAAAGTTCATAATGTTTCATGATAAACAGGTAATTGAAAGAAGCATGTTGTAAAGGAAACAAAGTGATGCCTAGAATTCTAGAAGTACATCAAATAAGCCCAAGCAAGAATCCCCAACAGTTGGGCACGAATTCACAATTCACCCATTCAGAAACTGCAACATGGCTAACAAACAACGCTGCTTTGAAGCACGCGCTTCTTTTCAATGTGCAACATGGATATATGTGTGCCCACATATGCGCAAGCGTGACTGCATGACTGCTCGGCGTGACAGCCTGCATAGAAAACATGTTAGCGTGTTAACACGCCATCATGGCACCATCTCACGATCACAGAATATCGGCGTGAAAACACCTCAGCGTGACAACATGCTACCGGGCCAGCACAGACAGCACATAGGCGTGACAGCATGTTTGCAAGTTAGTATGACAGAGTGGCAAAAGGGGACAATACAGCGCAAACCATGCAAGCGTGGCAGCCATGATGGAATGACAACATTTCCAACGTCAGCGTGACACCATGCCAGCATGACATGCTCCATGACAATGTCAGCATAACAGCATGTCAGAATATCTGCAAAACAAGCAAGCTAGACAGAAGGGAGACAAGGCGGACACAATGACCAACAAGAAGAGAGACAAGAAGGGAGGCAAAAGGAAACAGAAG